ATAAGAAACAAGAAGTAACTTCAGGGGTAAAACGATAAATTGACCCAGCTCTAGTTACGAACAACCTGTGAAGGATCGACTTACTAATCATGGTTATATCAAATGGACAGAAATATATCTATAGTGAGGGGAGTACAACTACTAGGCTATAGTGGAATGTCCTAGTAGTTAACGAATGTTGGTTAACAAGGTTAATGAGTTTAACCGGTTAATCTTGGATCGTTGGAGCCCATGATCTATAGGTGCATTAGGGCCCTCTGCTAGCTCATATCGGACTAAACCATAGAATAGTGTGATGAGTGAGTTCGAAGTGTTCGAATTCAAATTAGGGAGAATGCGCTACATATATACGATATATTTAACCGCATTTTTGTTTTATTTATGAATTAAACAAAAAGAGAGAATCTGAGATATTTAAATTATCTTAATCAAATATGTGTTGGAATTAATTGGAATTGGCATTTGAATTAATATTAAATATTAATTAAATATTTTAATTAATCATTTAATATTACTTTACTTTAAAATTAATAATTCAAATTGATTGTTGAATCAAAATGAAGAAAGTCAAAATGTTGACTTCATTTAATGAAAAAATCGGGAATTTTGAGGTGTCAAAATTTGGTTTAACCAAACTTGCATGCTTGCCAAATAAACCCCACTAATTTGAGTGGAATTTTGAGTGTCACAATTTGGTTAACTCAAGTATGCATGCTTGCCACATAATCCCAAACATTTGAGTGAAATTTTGAGTGTCAAAAATGGGTGATCTCAAATTTGCATGAACATGCAAACATGAGTCTATAAATAGAGTGATCATGGTACATGGAAGATCTCCCTTGGAAAAAAACCTTGAGAAAAACCTCTCACAAACTCTCTCTTCATATATATTAAATCCCTCCCAAGTTTAGTCACTCACCGGATTCCACAACCCCATTCTAAGGCGGAGAATAGTGGAGAAGACACTAGTGGTGGTTCGAAACCAGTTCGTGAGGAAAATGAAACTTGAACGAAGAAAGGTTAGTATTCAAACTCATTGAGTTTTAATGCTTTTGAACATGCTAGCTAATTCGCTATAATTGATGAACTTAGAGTGCCTAAGATCCAAATTGCTTCCGCATGTGTTATATTAACACTATCATAACCAAGGTTTCAGAATCCAAGGACCAAGATCCTCGGGATAGGCCATCTAGTTCTTGTTCTTGACTTGTGGGTTCTGATCATGTTCTAAGTACTTACGAAAAAAACAATAACAAGAAAAGAAAAGAGTGTGGTTCCTCTAGCATATCAAGGACACGGTTAAAAGCCTACAAGTATGCTGCTTACTAATCTTTGTACTCATTCCTTATTCTCCATTTTTTTTTTCAGGTAATAAGGAGCTGGTCGAGGTCGGGAGAAGACTCTGGAGCAAGTACCATAGACAAACCTCACTCGTCATCCTCAACCCTTTTGTTTTAAAATGTCTTGTGTCGTTCCTTATTTTGTACTTTAACTGTTGTGTAGTGTTTTAAATACTTTGTATAAACTTTATTTTGACATAATATAAATATAATGAACGAGATGTTTTAAGTTTGAGTTGTTTTATTTTGTGAAAAATTTACCCATCTTTTTGAAGTCATCGAGTCAGCCCGGTCCTTACACTATAACACCATCTTTAAGTTTCATGAAGAAATTGAGGAGAGAAACAATTTGAACCGAGCTAGAGAGGTATGTTTTAAGGTGACGGTGTAAAGGCTTGCGCACGTTTTCTTCCTTCTAGAGGAAGAAGACGATGACATGGGCAGTTCAACTGAACTAGTCCTATCAACCTAAAACCTTACCCTCCATCCGTTTTTCTCAATTTTAACCCCCTTTTCATACCAATTGTCATGAAAAAAAATTTATAGTTCCAGAAACTAGACACTTTAGGAGTTTGTCAAACAAAATTTGGAATAATTCAGATATCGAAATCTCAAGAACAGAGGTATCAAACATCGACGTCGAGGTAAGTAGCCATCTTAGATTTTTCTTAAAAAATATTTGTAGGAATCGTTTGTATTTTAATATGAACATTAAGCTCAATCTTGAACCGATCGATTTCCTCAAAAGTTAAATAAGGTTAAAATAACCAAATAAACAAACTCGTCTAGGTTTGAGTTTTAGATTTATTAAATACTTTGTTGTTATAGGTTTTCTAACAATGAATTTAAAAACATAAAATAAAATTTAAATTACATATGAAATTGTGTCCCTAACGTAAATGAGATTTAGTTGTGTTATTTCTCCTCTCTTTATTATGTTTTTAGCATATTATAAAAATATTTTAGGTATCTTTTCTTCTATATTGTTAGTAATAAAATCCTAACTCATTTAAAATGTAAAATTGGACCACCCTATTGAAACTATATTGTATAATTAATATTTTATTAAGAATAATAGGTTACATAATAAACTTTCATAAAGCAAGATCGATCGAACAATCCTGCATTATTTTTATTTATTAATACGTGAACATGATGTCATAAACATAATATAAAACTTGCACGCTTTATAGTTTATTCTTTAAATTGAATGGTCGTTTAATACGGCCACTCGCCAATGACATTGCCGGGTGGGTCATAGTTGCAGGTGATGAATGTACCGCCATTGTTGCACCTCACTTTTGCACATCCAACTTTTGTCGTGTTTTGCCACACCACTTGAGTGTAGTGGCTGCACATTTTTCCTTCGGTGCAGGTGTTGGAGGCATAATCGTAGAATTGTTGCTCGTCCACCCACATTTGAACTGCTTCAATGCCTGTCATTTCACTAGGATGCATTGCAAGATTCTCGCCATAAGGCCCATTAGAGTGCAACAATTGACAGTCGTTGCTACGTTCGTTGGCATATTGTGTAGCGTAGTTTGCAAGTTCCTCATCCCACTGGATGGGTTTGATGCCAACTTGGACAGCGCTCACTTGAGAACGAGCAATATTGTGAGCATCAACATAGTGTTGAGGGGAGTCTTGAGCGAGAGATGAAGGAAGGATAGTGATACAGAAGACACAAAACAAGAAGGAGCGAGAGATTGGATCGTAGAGGTTGAAAAATATATGGAAATAGGTGTGGAGAGAAATGGGATGGACATAGGTTGTATTTATAAGCATCAAATTTTGAAATACTTTAATATAATTCAACTTAGGAAACTTAGGGTTTGTATTCGTTGAACCAATATTGGATGGCTATTTACAATTTGGCCCCACATATCTAAATAAATACGAAAACAACTTTCAAATTTTTATAATATCTAGTGGGCCCACCTCAATATATATATGTGTGTGATAAAATAAAAATAAATATAAAAATAAAAAAAGAAAAAGAATAATACGTTAGAGAATTTTAAAATATATTTAATTCAAATGGATAAGAAAAAAATATATTTTAAAATATATCTATTTAATTTTAATTCAAACCTTCATGTCTGCCTGCCCAAATTATAAACCTTTTTTAATTACTTTTTTATCCCTTAGTTTTTTTGTTATAGAATTTTAAAATATACATAATTAAACAGTCTATTTTATTTTTAATTATCAGTAATTCATCCCATGAAATCCTTAGGTGTCCAATAGTATGTTCACTTACCTTATGAAGCTTAATCCAACACTTTTATGCTCCTTTTAGCTAAAGGTTCAATTCAAATGGATACGAGAATAGATCGACCAACCTTCTAAGAATGCGAGAATAGATCTTAAAATTCATTTTTTTGTACTAAAAATGCACTTCAATAGTTCTTGAATTGACCCGAAACACCAAGAAAAACTCTTAAGCAAGTTAACTTAAGGGAAAAAAATATCGATTCCCATGAGATCTAAAATTTTCAGCCCAAAAACAATCGAGAGAAAATAGAGAGCATACTCGAAGCATGAATGGCAACCAGAGTTATAATACCCAATAATTTTAAGGTATCACATATATGAAGTAGTTAAAATGATATGTATAAGCGAAAATATTAATGATAGAAGGGGAAAATAGTCTTTCCAATTTTTATAGAATTTATGGAATTTTTAATTACTTAGAGATTCGATAAGAAATTTGAAGATACTAAATAAAAAAATGAAAGAAAAAAAAAACTAATAGGTAAATTTTATAAATTTTATTGTATTTTCCATAAAAGAATAATAAAATATTAAAAAATAGCAAATTTGTAAGGTTGAATAGGTCATATCTATCTAATAAAAGAATCTAATCTATTTCGTAATAGAATCTAATGATTTCCTTATTTGTAACCATGAATGGAAGAGAATCTACGGATTGATTTACTGGTTTTTTTACCATGAATCAAAGAAAATCTACTATTTCCTGGTTTGTTACGTGGATCAAGGCCCACCATGTAATCCTCATTATACACATCTATAAATATACGAGGACATGACCATATATGTCATAGTGTTATTCAACCTAACATGGGATCAGAGCCAATGTTTATTCAATTAACAATGTCTTCATTAACAATATCTATCATATCTTCTTACTCCTCCCTATACACTATCTCCAACACAATCTCATCTACTATGGCATCGACCTTTGGCCCAATTCCTTTCCACCACGTTGTCACAATTCGTCTCACCAAAAAAAACTTCATCATATGGCGCGTCCAGCTCCTCCCCTACCTACGGAGTATGAAGCTTATGGGCTACCTCGATGGCACCATTGCCGCACCTGCAAAGCTTATCCCTTCCTCAACAGCTGCTGCTACTGACCTGGTCTCTAATCTAGCCTAAAATCGATAGTATGATCAGGATCAACAGTTCCTTAAAGACCTTCTCTCCTCCATGTCTGAGAAGATTCTTCACGATGTAGTTGCCGCTACTACGTCCAAAGAGACGTGGGATACCCTACAGCGGATGTTTTTGTCGTCAACATGTGCTCGCATTGTTCAGATCTGTGTTGAGCTTGCCACGTCCAAGAAATGTGATCTATCTGCTGCAGATTATTTTTGCAAGATTAAAAGACTTGCCACAGAGCTGGCCGCTGCTAGCTCTACCTTGCGGGATGATGGCGTGATTACGTATCTTCTCGCTGGTCTTGACTTTGATTATGATCCCTTTGTCACCTCGATGACTACCAAGAGTGAAGCCCTCACGCTTGATGATGTGTTTGCACATCTAATGGCATTTGAAACTTGCCAACTACAACACCATGTGGAACTTTAGTTAAATCCTGGATCTTTGGCCAATTATGTCGGTCGTGGTGGTCAGCAAAAGAATCATGGTCGTAGGGATCGTGGTCATAGTCGTTCTCAAGGTGGCGTGTTCTCTCGTCCTATTGGTAATCGTCGTGACCCTTCTGCTTGTTTTTCTTGCCAGATTTGCGACAAAGTGAGGCATATTGTCGTTCAGTGCTGACATGGGATGGATGAGTCCTATCAAGATGAACCGCCTTCTGCGGCACTGGCGGCTACTTCCTCTTACAAGATTGATCCAAATTGGTACCGCAACACTGACGCCACTGATCATATCACTAGTGACCTAGATCGTCTCGCTGTGCGTGAGCACTATCATGGAGGTGAACAAGTTCAAGTCGGCAATGGAGTAAGTTTACGTATTTTGCATACTGACCATTCTTCAATTAATACTATTGTTCATCCTCTTGCATTGCGTAATATTTTGCATGTGCTTAAAATTTCCAAACATCTTCTTTCCGTTCATAAATTTTCTCGTGATAATGACTATTCTTTGAATACCATCTTTGAAAATTTTCTATAAAGGATCGATGGTCAAGGAAAAGACTTCTAGATGGAAGGTGTGAGTCTGGTCTCTATCCTATTAAGTCATCTGATGTTGATGATCTTAAGCACGCCTTAGTGAGTAGATCTACTACTCACGCCCAATGACATGCACGTCTTAGACATCCTTCATCTCAAGTAGTAAAGTTAATTTTACGTCTCAATAATATTTCGTGTGCTAGTGAGTCATCTTTTCCAGTTTGTAATGCATGTCAGTTAGGAAAAAGTTATTAGTTACCATACACTAGTTCTTTTCATAGGTCTTCGTCACCTTTGGAACTGATTCTTTCGGATGTTTGGGGTCCTACACCTCCATTTGTTGGGGGCTTTAAATATTATATCAGCTTCATTGATGATTTTAGTAAATTTTCATGGATCTATTTGATGCATGATCGTATAGAAGCTCCTAGTATACTTTTGCAGTTCCATGCTCATGTTGAGCGCCTCATAGATACTAAAATCTAGTGTGTTCAGTCTGATTAGGGTGGGGAATATCAGAAAATTCATAGCACATTTTTTTCTTCTCTTGGAATCGTTCATCGTGTTTTGTTCCCTCACACTCATCAACAAAATGGATCTGCTAAATGCAAGCATCGTCATATATATTAAACGAGCTTAGCTCATATAGCTCATGTTGATGTACCTATTAAATTTTTGGATGACGCGTTTCTTACAGCCACATATCTCATCAATCGTCTTTCTACTCGTGTCATCAATAAAAAAAAAAAAATGCCCTTTAGACGTTGTTTTCATACCCCCACCAAATTACTCCTTATTAAAAGTTTTTTGGTGTGCTTGTTGGCCTCATCTTCGCCCTCATGACAAACAAAAGCTCTCTTTTCGATCCAAGGAATGTGTCTTTCTAGCCTACTGTTATTTACATAAATGGTATAAGTGTCTTGACACCGATTCTGGTCATGTCTATATTTCTAGAAACGTCATATTTGATGAGAATGTTTTTTCGTTCAAGAGAGCCCCACCCAGTTTTTCCTCAACCTTGCAGCCGACGCACATTGCCCCTGATTTGTGCAACTTGCATTTGGGTAACAACGGTACTAATTTGGAGAATGATCATATGCATATATTTGTGCCTACTAACTCTTTAGATGCATAAAATCTGGTGCCGCATCAGCTTCGGGACTACCGCCGCAATCCTCTGCGTCGCTGCTACGCAAATCAACATCAATTGTTCCACCAATGATTGGGGCTTCGGATCCTCCGCCAACAAATGATATTGCGCAATGCCTAATTGGATCCCCTCGCAGGGACTGGTACGGCTGTCTCCTTAGTTGTAGATCCTGCACCTACAACTCATTCGTATGGTACTCAATTGAAGCACAATATCAATCAACCCAAGGTGCGTATAGATGGAACAGTAACATATTATGTGGTTCGGTTTTCCGCCTCTAAACCTACTTCACATATTACTGCTATGGAGCATCCCATCTAGCATCAGACAATGAATGATGAATTTCAGGCACTTCTAAAAAATAAGACATGACACTTAGTTCCTCCTCGTGCTAATCTTAACGTTATTGATTGCAAATGAATTTTCAAACTCAAGCAAAAGCCCGATGGCTCTATTGATCGCTACAAAGCACGCCTGGTTGCTAAAGGGTTTAAGGAGCAGTATGGCGTTAATTATGATGATATCTTTTGTCCAGTTGTTAAGCCCACTACCATTCATCTCTCATTATCTCTTGTTATTTCTCATGGTTGGGCTATTCGGCAGATTGATACTCAAAATGTTTTTTTTTTCATGGTTTTCTTAATGAAGATGTTTATATGAAGCAATTCCTTGGACTTTTGGATTCTCAACATCCTGGATATCTCTGCAATCTGGATAATTCACTTTATGGCCTCAAACAAGCTCTGCGTGCCTGGTTTTGTCACCTTAGCTCCAAACTATTATAGCTGGGTTTTACACCTTCAAAGGTTGATGTCTCTGTTTTCATTTTTAACAAGACAGACATTCAAATGTGTATCCTTATCTATGTTGATGACATTATTATCATCAGCTCATTTTCTACGGCTACTGATAAACTTCTTACACAGCTTCAGGATGATTTTGCAGTCAAGGATCTTGACACTTTGAGTTATTTTCTTGGGATTGAGGTCTGCCATACTTCCAATGGACGTCTTCTAACACAACATAAATACATTCAAGATTTATTGTCCAGAACCAATATGCTCACCTCCAAAGATGTGCTAACACCTATGCTTCCTAGTAAGAAGTTGTTATTGGATGGTGGTGAAAAGCTCTCGCTTGAGGATACTACTCGCTATCAGAGTGTCATTGGTGCTCTCCAATATTTGTCTCTAAAACATCCTGATATATCCTTTTGTGTCAACAGAGTGTACCAGTTCATGTCCTCCCAGACTTCTGTACATTGGGAGGCGGTCAAACGAATTCTCTGTTATCTACATGACACTATTGACATGGATTTATGTCTTACAAAGTCCAACACTGATTTGCTTTTGATAACGTGACCATATCGCAAAAGAATATTTTTTAAGAGTGATACTCTATTCATGCCTAAAGTGACCCGAGATCTTCCACTACTTTGTGCTTCTTGAGACTCATATTTTCCTCTTCTAAGTGGGATGTCCTACACCATGTTTTTAGTAGAATGTCACATTTGAACCTTATGTTTCCTTCACCTAGATGAGATGTCCTAGCCACGTACTCTGGGAGATCTCGTGGGTAAATAGCATCCTCACGTACTCTGGGAATTGAAGCAATTCTATGTTGGATGATCTCCTAAAAATATTTCTAGGATGCATGATTTAGGATAAAACATGTTGAAAGAACTCGTGTTAGTCTGTGGAGATAGTCTTCGCTCTTAAGAAGCGAGATTGACTGCTACCCAATGTACAGAAGGTTATGTGTCCTTGAGAAAGTCATCGAAGACGATTATTAAGTTAAGTGGGGGAGAACTTCACAACCTCATTTTGAGAATGTAGGTTGTCAAACTGAGGCAGTGACCTCCACACCCAAGAAAGACAAGGGGTGACCCTCAAATGGCACCCATCTGGCAACATGAGGGCCAAGATTGAGAAGTCTCATGACGCAACCAAAGAGAACGGTGCATCATGCAACACACCTAGAGTATGCATTGAAGCTAAGTTGAGGCATACACAAGCTTCAAGAGAATGAGACAACAGGAGTGTCAAAGACAAGCTCGAAGAGGGCCGAGTTTGGCCTCGAAACATAACTTTAGAAGTCAGGATTTTGATATGAGTTTCGACATGTAGCTCGAGAATGAAGTCCCTCGAAATGAAAGATGAAAGCGACGGACTATGCACGAGACTGTATGTTTGCTTGCTAAAATGACGTTTAATCAAGAAGAATTAGAAATGCCTCAAAATGCACTATAGGGTGACACATGATGTTAGGTCTCCACCACCTCTAAGCCATGTGGGCTAAGAAAGCTACCTTATGACACAGATGTGTGTCGGTACGAGCATCTCAGGGGTTTTCCTATAAAAAGGGTATTTCAAGGATAGTACTAAATGGAAAAGGTGTGCCAATATTGCTTCCCAGCCTATGTGTCGAAGGTTGGATTATGCACCCGCTATCCATAATGTATGTCGTAAATTGTTTAACATGTACACGAAAAATTCTGATGCTCAAGAGAACCCAAATGGATAGACATTTTAAATGTTCCAATGAGATGATTGACACATTGGTCAGATCCAAACGGATGTGTCCGAGCAAACCAATATGGTCGAGCTATCCCGAGACATGAGATTGCTTCACGATTCATGGGTCGTGTTGTAGGAAACCGAGATGACGATGAGATACAATAGTGTTGTGTTGCACATGGTTAAAAATGCACACATAGCGTGTGGTCAAACAAGATTGGATTCCAAATAAGTGATATTTGGTTACCGAATGCAAACATTGCCTAAGGTCTGACAAAGCCACAAAATCGGGTGAAAATGTGAATGGAGATTGAGTATCCCTTAAGGTTTATTGTGAGCGTGTCAAGATCACGAGGCCTTACATTTAAAGAGGTATAATCGTGACACGATGCCATGGTCAAAGTAGGACTAGACTCTTTCCATAGTAGACCGCATTTAAAAATCATGAGGTTGAAAAAGATACATAATAAGCCAAAACATAATATGTGCTAGCTGGCTCGAGGCTTTACAAAAAATTAAAATAATTGACAATTTTGGGATTTGAACCCCAACAATTTCAAACCTAAATCTAGTGCCTAAAACCACTCAACCAAAATATGTTTGAACAAATAAAGATGGTCGAGCTATCTCAAGACATCAGATTGCATCCCGATGCAAGGGTCGTGTAGTTGGAAACTGAGATGACGATGAAATTCAACGTTGTTGAGTCGCACACGAATGGACATGCACACATAGGCGGCATGTGCGGTCA